ATCTTTCCTACAAGAACATGTTGGAATTTAGACAGATTCAGATGTCTAAGCAGATGTTGGAATTTAGATAGATTCAGCCCAACACATCTGGAGAGTACAAGGTTGGAGGTGATTGCTCTGACCCATTCAGACCCATTCTAGGCAGTCTGGATTAGAGTTAGAAAAAGCAGAGAGGGGGAAGGGGGACATTGCTCCCTATAGTTTTTCCCTTCCACAATTTTTTTATTTATGCATACCTTAAAAATTTGTCAAGCTTGTTGATACCTCCCTCATGTTTCTCAGTAGTCTGATTTTATCTACATAATCACAATATTCAGTAATTATCTAGTATTAGTATGGATTTTAAAATTAATACTGCAATTATGTACAGCAACTTAAAACATACACAGATACGTATACTACTATATATATACAACTACTAAATTTTGATACACTTCGAATGGCATGTAAGCCTTAAAAATAAACCAGTAATACTTCAATATGTTTTATGTTTCTGCTGTTTCTTGGCTCTGAAGAATGCAGTCAAGGTGGCTTTGATTTTTTCTAACCTCTAAACAACTGTAGGATGGGTCTGCTGGGTCAGTAAGATTACAAGGAGCTATTGCTCAGCATAAGAAGGAGAAACAGAAAACAGAAGATAGAAGTAAGATTCACAGACACAACAGAGACAAAAAGAAAATCTAATCAGAGATATGAAGCAGAAAGACAACAAGTAACAAGAGGTAAGTAACTGCTAGGTAGCATCAGGACTCTGCCAATGGAAAAAGGAGCAGAATGAGCAGGAACAAAGATGAAAGAGACCTTGTATAATGCAGGTAGTGGAAACATGGATGAAAAACAGATGGATAATATGTTAATTCATAACTGAGTTAAACCTGGTACACCCAACCCCATACTCATCTTATAGTTTAACACAGTGGTTCTCAACCTTTCTAATGCCGCGACCCCATAATACAGTTCCCCATGTTGTGGTGACCCCCAACCACTTATACATCACCGGGTGCCAGGGGCGTGGCCAAAGAAAAGGGGAAAAAAATGGTGGACAGCCTTGTTTGGCGACCCCCGTGAAATGGTCGTTCGACCCCAAATGGGGTCCCGACCCACAGGTTGAGAACCACTGGTCTAACAGAGCTTCCTGGATATGAAAAACTGCCTTAGCAGGATATGATTGATAATGAAGAAGCAACAGTGCCCATTTTTACAGTTTATTTATTTATTTATTTATTTATTTATTTATGAGACTTATATACCGCTTTAAGTGCAAGCACTCTCTAAGCCACAGGTCGGCAACCTGTGGCTCCGGAGCCGCATGCAGCTCTTTGAGCCTTCCCCGGTGGCTCCCAGCCTCCTCTGCCTTTGCAGAGAGAGACAGAGACAGAGAGAGGCAATTGCGCTTCCCTGCTTCCTTCTCTCTCTCTCTCTCTCTCTCTCTCTCTCTCTCTCTCTCTCTCTGTGTGTGTGTGTGTGTGTGTGTGTGTGTGTGTGTGTGTGTGTGTAAAAGATTGCACTCACACTGTTCTCTGAGGAGCTGAAAAGCTTTCTGGACGGAGCTCCTCCCTTTGCTGCATCTCTGCAGGAAGCAGGAAGGGCAGGAGAGAGCTAGCTAGCCCAGCTAGGCTGACTCAGGAATTCTGGGAGTTGAAGTCCATGAGTCATAAAAGAGACGAGGTTGCTTACCCTGAGCTTGTTGGACAACAGCTTGAAGCTTGCCAGGTGAGCAGCAGATAGGAGAGAGAGAGAGAGAAAGAGAGAGAGGGAGGGAGAGAGAGAGAGAGAGAGAGAGAGAGAGAGAGAGAGAGAGAGAGAGAGAGAGAGAGTGGGGGAAGAGGAGTGGCAGGCAGACCAAGGGCAGATAGAGAGGGAGGGAGAGAGAGAGACAGGCAGAGAGAGAGAGAGAGACCCTTTTGACATCTAAAATGAAGATAACACTGCATATATCCTTTTTTTACCTGTATGTGTATGTGTATGTATGTGTATATATATATGTGTGTGTGTGTGTATATACATACATATACACACACATACACATATATACACACACACACAAACACACACACACCTATAATAAAGGTAAAAAAGGATATATGCAGTGTTATTTTCATTTTAGATATCAAAAGGATTTTGCGGCTCCCGGTGTTTTGTTTTTGGTGGGAAACGGGTCCAAGTGGCTCTTTGAGTGTTTTGGTTGCCTACCCCTGCTCTAAGCGGTGTACACCAGTAAGCAATGTATATATATATTTACATTGCCCCCAACAATCTGGGTCCTCATTTTACCTACCCTGGAAGGATGGAAGGCTGAGTCAACCTTGAGCCGGTGAGATTTGAACCGCTGACCTGCTGAACACAGTCAGCTAAAGTGGCCTGCAGTACTGCACTCTAACTGCTGTTCCTCTGATCCACAATTTCTCCACAGCAAGTATTTACCTATTTAGTTTAAAATTAATGCTATGAAACTTATTAACCCTCGCTTACAACTGGAATAAGATTTAAAGTGGAAAAATGTACAGCAGGCAAAAAGTTAAAGACTCCTTTGTATCATTTTTACCTTATCATCTTATGTCCTTTCAAAACAACTCATAAAATATATAAAGAAACTCAAGGTTTTTCTTGGATCTTAAAAATAATGCAAGCATTGGTTTTAGATATTGGAGACCATACCAATTCTCCTTGAGGAATGCTATACTTTCACCAAGTTATTCACAGTAGATCTTTTAAGAGCTGGACATTCACAACAGTTACAAGAGATGCTGATCACCTTACATTCTAAATATTCACTGCACAGCTAGAAACTCAGGGAACCTTAAGGATACATGGAGAAATTTTCACTACTACCTTACCTATCCAAATTGCATAACTTGCTTTCTGCTACTGCTTTGGATGCCTGGTATGTAGGTGTTTGTTTGTTTTTTGTTTTGTTTTTTTGAAATACAATATAAGTAAGGTCATATAAAGGTCATATAAAGCCTTCTTCTAATTTCTAAGATCCTGAAGAAGCAGTTAGTTTGGACCACCAACAAAATCAATTTGTCCCTTTCCTGATCACCTCATATACAGAGGTGGTGAAAGGGAGGGGGGAATAGAATAGAATAGAATAGAATAGAAGAGAAGAGAATAGAATAGAATAGAATAGAATAGAATAGAATAGAATAGAATAAGAGACTGAAATTGAAAGGTCCAAAAGAGAAGAAGAAAGATGGCCCCAAACCAAAACGACATCTGGGTAACTCCTTATGCTTTTGGTTCTGTTCTTACCCATTGCTTGCTCCAACCTATTTTATCTCTGCCTCTGCCCACTGCCAGTTTCCTGCACCTCCATATGATGATCTCCAAAGGTAGTAGCCCTTCAAACAGAAATACCCAATCAATATTATTGATAGCTAGGAAAATGAGATTTTTTAAAAGAAAAAGCCATCAGAAGCATGTGGTATACATAACAGTTTTACCAGGTTGGGGAAGAGTGGCTTAAACAGTTATGGCTGCTTTTCTTTAGGTATCTTTTTCTATTTCTTAAAGGTTTCATGCGGCCATGTATTTCCAAAATGCAGCATGTGGTTATATAATCCTTTGGCTTCACACATTCTAAAAACACTATGTAATTAAGGTATCTATAGAGCCAAAGGGGAAGCAACTTGTTAGACTGCTCAAAATTATGAACATGAAAATGTTTTGTAAAATGATAGACAAAATGCACATTGTATCCACCTGTCTATTTACCCACCATGCCTGTAAAAAGATCATTCTTCTGTATAAGGAAACAGGGTATGAAGAGACTGACTAGGTCACAGGGGTAGGCAACCTTGGCTCTTTTATGACTCGTGGACTTCAACTCCCAGAATTCTGGGAGTTGAAGTCCACAAGTCATAAAAGAGCCAAGGTTGCCTACCCTTGGACTAGGAGGTAAGTACAGCAGCAGCAATCAAATCACATCTCTAGTGTGCCTTTGAGACTTTAGCACAGCCTTCTGTAAAAACTGGTTCCTTCTAGATGCCTTGAATTATAACTCTCATGATTTGCAACCTGGGAATGGGCTTGTTAACTGAAGCTTATAGAAACTGTGGTCCAACATAGTTGGAGAGAACCAAGTTATAGAAATTGCTTTAGCATATCAAATGACAATGCACCAATCTTTAGAGATGCACAGCATTCCACATAGTATCCCAGCTCTGTGGCAGATCTTCTTGCTCCAGCTGAGTGGTGATCAGGGAGATAATTATCTCACTGTTGTTTATTCTGTGCTCTAATCAGAAACCTGCTGTTAATATAACAGAATGAACAACACACCAAGTAAGAATCCCAAGGGATTTCTTTGGTATCCAAACAGTTCAGAAAGCATAAAAAAGATCTAAGGAGCTGGAACTGAATCCCAAAACTGGTGAAGGTGAGGGACAACTCGGGCTTTGAAAATCATATGACATACCAGTCCTAAGCTTCCTAAATGACACCTCCATACATTACATTCATCCTCAGAGATGAATTTAGTCAATTCAGATGAATGGGTTTTTTATCTCAGTTTGTTCTGCTTCACTGGAAGCAAATTGTCTCATTCAGGCAAGCTTTAAGGAGGAAAAAAATGACACATTGAATTGTAGAAAGGGTGACCTTGAAAGAGGAGGAGAGGTGGGGGAATGAGAAAGAAGGACAGGTTTTAGATAAAAAGAAAAGGGAAATAGAAATAAGCATGCCCAGAAAATAGGAGATGTTCAACCAACATCCCCTCAAGCTTTAAGGGGGAAAAGGGACCTTGACTTGAGATACTGGGAATTTTATTACTGTCTATGTGTGGCTAAACAAGACATCGACATGCACTGGAAACATATTTTTTCCTGCCATGTCTTCATAATACGATCTTCAACTTACCTTCAGCTCATGAGTGAAACTAGCTTAAAATCTCCTTTTAATAAGTAAGATTACAGCCTCCTCCCCCTCCTTATTTTAACACAATGCACAGAAAACTTGAAGACTGTAACATTTATTAAGCTTTGCCATCCATTATTTTGCTGGAAGCCCACCAGTGTGGAAAGGTGAGAGATATATGACTCAGCCTACCTGCAAATAATCTTAGCTTTTCAGCTAAAGGTTTATTTCAAAATATTCATTTCAATTTTTATTGCTTCTTATTTGTCAAATACATCTACTGTTAACATGTGTTGGATTTTAACTCCCATTCTCACCAGTAGGTTGGCTGTTCTAGCTCAGTGTATCTGGAAGACATCGAGTTGGAGAAAGCTAGCCTAATATTATCCTCCTTCTAATGTCATATTTACAGCTAAAAATAGGGGAAAGAGTCAAGGATAAAAGTTACATATAAGGGAAGCAGAAAAAAAAAGAGAGAGGAGCAAAGGGGTGAAAGCAAAATGCTAGTGGTACTTAACAGCAAAAGCACTTAAGGAAATCAATCCTTCAGCAGATTGGCAGCTAGTGAAAAAATTCACATGTATCTAAATGAGCAGCTTTGCTCTTTATTCTCCTCAAATTGCTGCCTTTTCTTATTCTCCCAACCTCTTAGTTTGCAAGGGTTGTTCATCATTGCATGTTAATTTCATTCACTTTTGGTCAGAGAAATAATACTTCTGCTGTGAAAGCTCATTGCCAACTACCATAATTTAGTATGCACACTGCTCACTCCCTTGGTCAATACAAGGTTGCTGGGACCATTATAACATTAAAAACTGAGTAATGTTAAATGATGCTTTTCTGATTGCAAGAAAACATCTAAAAATCTCATCCTCATCACTTGATAAACAAAAAATGGCCTTGATATGATATGCATTCAGTTAAGCAATCCAAAGTTTCCTGATGCTGCTCATTTCAAACTGCAAATTATGTGTTTGGATATTCCCCATATTTTAAAAAATCTCTGTGCACAAAGATGACTGGAACGTTAGGGGAAAAGCCAATTAGAACCCTCTTGACATGCTATTTTAGCAGAGGCAATGTGTTTGACATGCAGTCATAAGATTATAATTCTTGTGAGAAAGTATTATAATTTTTGTGAGAAAGTATTGCCTCAGGATTTCTAAATTGGTATTTCAGATGCACATAATGCTTTCCTCTTTTCTTTGTTACTTATTCTGGAAACGTCACCTTTTCCCCTTCACCACCTCCACGCCATGCTATTGCCAGGACTTTTCTTTGGACATTTCCTAAATGATTATATTTATCTGTTGTTCTACAGTGCCCCATTAAGATTATGGTTCAATTTTCTGCCTGTAACATTATCTTGTTGTTATTTAATAGTACCTTATTAATTTTTAATCTGTGGCTTAGAAAAGCATCAACAGCTAAAAAAAATCAGATAAAACATATTATAGCAGACCTACAGCTTCATTCAATACAGGTAGAATATTGTCTTCTTGGCCAAATTAAATAATCCATCAACAGCATCTTCATCTTATGTGGATGGAGTTTTAGTTTTTTATTCCTTGTCCGTTCCAATCTTTAGCATGTCAACATCTCATCTGTATAAGAAGAAAATAATAGATATATCAGCAAAATGGTTACACCTCATGCCAAATGTTCTTAAGACCTAAATCAGTATACAGTGTTTTGGGAGTGACAACTACATTCAGTCTTGAAATTAGGTACTTGTGAACATATTCATAAGTATATGCAAGCAGTATATTAAAAAAATTAAATCAATTTAAATTAACAATACATTAAATGACAGTTCAGTTAAACTGGTTTAATATAAGGAATATATTTAATCCCCTTGCATTTAATAAATTTTCCCTTCTGTCACATTATATTTTATAACTCATTGGTAACCTTCAACAGCAATAGCATTTAAACCTCCAGTTGTTTAGCCCCAATGTATATGTTAAATATGTGGGCAAAAGAATGTCCTGAAGAATGCCACAGACAGTGAAAATGCAATAGGCAGTGAAACAGCGCAGAATCAGATAAAAATAAAACAATTTCACCAATAATTTCCATTATGGACAGTTAGGTATGTGCCAAAATTGAGTAATTTCACTGAATTCAAACAAATTATTTCCATTTTTCATAGGACAGTATCTGATTAAGATTTTGATTTAGGGAAAGCTGGACATCAGAGTAAAAAGTCCAGTGAAATTCATGTCAAGTGAATGTGGGATTCATTCTGCAGAACTCATTTCTTCCATTTGCTCAACTGATTATGAATACAAAGGTTCTGAGAAACATTTTGGGCCCTCCAATTTTAATTCTCAAAAGATAGCAAGCTTGCATAGGGCATAACTTACCCGTTATTCTTAATGGGACTCAGCCTCCAGCCCTCCACTGTAAGATAGTCTCTTCAACCATCCTTCCAATGGGTATTTCACTTAAAAATATTTCATGGTCTCCATCAAGAGTTGAGGTCAGTTTAAGGATGTCTTTATGTTTCATGCATAGCAGTGTCAGTAAATAGCACTTGCAAAACACACAGAGTTATCCATCTAGTAGGTTAATCTAGCACTTGCTCAGCAGAGGTCCCCAACCCCTATCTGCCATACATTTAACTGTACAGGCACTATTAATTTTTCTGACATTTGACTGTGAACATCTGCAAGGAAAGCAGAGATTAAAGGATTTTGTAGAGAGAACAGTCTTTGCCTCCTTGATAAATAATACTTTGGAGATCACTAGCTGATTAAATTAATCACTATCTAGCATGAATCCACAATACTAGAATAACAATTTAATATCTATATTTTAAGAACCTGGAAGACATCAATTCTTAACCTTGCATATTGTTCAATTTCCCCAGAGAGAACCTTAGATCAAATTGTGCTTAGAAATGTGGAGAAAGGATCACAAAGAAGTCTGATTCATTCTCCTATTTATAAAAGAATTTCTGAAGACACTAAAGCAATCCTTAATATTACAAGGCTCATTGAGGAAATTGTAAATCCTCAGCAGAATGCCCCCCAAGGAATTGTTATATTTATTATGCATTAGTCAGGATCATGACATGAAACACTAGTAAAAACAGCAATGAGATGAGCTTTCTAAAAGGCTTGGAGAAACAAAATCTGGAACTAGGAAAACCTAAGAAATGCTTTTATTTTTACAGTCTCTGGGATTCTCTCAGCCAGGCTGATGCCTCCTCCTTATTACTCACTGGAATTCTATAGCTAGAATTTTAACGGTATGCATTAGCTGGATTTTTTGTAGGAAGATGATGAAACTTCAAGCAAGCTACATAGCAGGTAATTCTCCATCACAATTGTATTTTTGACAAGCATAGGTACACAAAATAGATCTTGACAAAGGAAAAGGTTGGATATGGTCAGAGCAAATGATAAATTAGGTATGAGAAACATTGGGACATCTGATATAAATGGTAGAATACAAAGCTTCCTTCTATCTATTGTATATGAGGTCCCTTCCATGGACAAGAGCTGTGCTTAATCTAAATCGGGGGTCTTCAAACTTGGCCCTTTTATGACTTGTGGACTTCAACTCCCAGAATTCTTCAGCCAGGCATGCTGGCTGAGAAATTCTGGGAGTTGAAGTCCACAAGTCATAAAAGGGCCAAGTTTGAACACCCCTGTGCTAAATCAAAATTGTATTCTGTATCCCTACACAATGCAGGAGGCTTGTAAAGTGTTTTTGCAAGTTGAAATGATTAACTTCAAGTTCAATTGCAGAATGAGTCATTTTCTATTGGCAGAAACTCTTAGCTCTTTCTGCTTCCCATCTCCTCAGGGTTCATTTCCTGAAAGTCAAGGGGTCATTGTGTCTTGCCCTACCATTCTATTTTGCTGCTCCCCTACACAGTGATCAATTTTGTTTTTGTTGCTTTTTTCCTTTGACACAAAACAAACATGATGATGCAACATTGATGATGCAGGAGTGAGAGATTAGCTAGAGCACCAAATCTGATATTCTCCTATTGGCCAGTGGAAAGTTCAGCCAGTATGTCCAGAAAAAATAATTCAGCAACCTGGTATGGACTCTTTCAGGATGGTACTGTAATACTGCGTATGATTTGCAAGTTTTGAAGAGATGAACATTGCAACCATGTGGTATTTCCTCATGAATCAATAAAATGAAATTTATGCCCTAGCAAGTATGAGGGCCAACACCATTAACTTTGCTTAATGAAGTCTTGAATAAACATTTATGTTATGATTTAACCATAACAAGATGACTCAGCATATGGACTGGAACTCGGTAAAATAGGATAAGCATTTGCAATCTATCTCTATAAATGATTACATTTTAGTTCATTGACAGCATCCATTAGAGTGAGCTATGGCGATATCTAAATCCTTAATTGACTCCACTATATACTAAAACTGGATGATAGTTTTCCATCAAATATTAAAATAAGCACAGTAATTTACAGGTTGAATCCACTAAATTACAAGGTAGTGACAACATTTGAAGAACCCTGGGGACTGCATCCAAAGGCAGCCTATGGCCCTGGGACTTAATTTGTGCACTTCTGATATGGATGGTTAGCGATAGCAAGAAGGCTGTCTGCTAATACAGTGTTATTCACATGACTGGAGAGCATAAGCAAACAAAATCTGCTTCCTGTTCAAAGGAACTGACTGTAGGAAATATCGATGTAAAAAATAGGGAGTGAAGAGCCCAAGAGAGCAAGTAATGGCTATAAGCCACCGTAGATAAAACTTGAATGGGGTTGGAGGTAAGCCTTCGTCTCACCAATGCAAACTTTACAGGTGAGTTAAAAATGGAAAATCTAGTTTTGGCATCATTTGTGAAATAATGTTTATCCTTAACCTCCTCTGTATCTAATCTGCATGGAAATCATTTGCCCAGCATACTAAAGCCAAAAAGCTCCGTTTGGCTGAATAGCCTGCTCTGAAACAGCCTTTTAAATAACCCATCTCCTCTATGCTGACTGAGAATTGTGGGAATCAAAATCCAAATATACCTGGAGGGAACCAAGTTGATGAATACTGACCTAGAAGTAGTTGATCAACAGTCTTGTTTGGTAGAGTTTTATTCCTCCCTGGAAAGCAAACTGAGGGTGCTTTTGAAGCCTGCCTTTGGAAGCCAGGCAAGCGTCTGGTGATAATAAGGAATACCTTTCAGCACCTGAGCCGGCAAAAACCTTTATGACACTGGTCCAGCTTTTCACAATCCACTCCAGAGGACCTGGGATTACAATTCCCATAATTCAGAATTTTCAACTAGGTCAAGTAAGATCCCTAAAACATATGGTAGGAATGGAAACAGCAGAACCTCAGTTACTTCAAAATACAGTGGCTGAAAATCTGATTGGATATGTAGGTGGGAGCATATTATCTGCATGCCACATCAGCTATATAATTTGCTTTTCAGATGGATTTCATCTCATTTCAGGATGCTAAGTTTGGCATTATAGCATCAGAACATGGAAGTTATATTTCCCTATTTGAACTTGCCAAACAGCTCTAAAGCAGGATCCCCACTAGTGACTTATAGTATTTCCTAGAGTCATCTAACCATCCTTGTGCTGACAGAACAGTAATGAGAGACTTTTTACCCACTTTCTGGGTAAGAGAGAAAAGATTAATAGGGAAGTCACCTGAGTCCCTGCTTCATAGTACTTTGCTATTGGAGATACAATAGATATGAAGCCTCCTCAATGAATTCCATCAGATGGTGTTTGCTGAGGCAGATAACATGATTTCATCACTAGAGATTTATAACACCTATCATTATTAACTATCACTGTGGCAATATAAAGTACCATTATCCTGGCAGTGGGTGAACAGAAGACTTGACTGATTTAAATTTGGATCATTTTGGATAGGATAGCGACAAATGATAACATTTGTTCTTTGCCATTCCCCCAAGACATTGGCTTTATCTCATTCCCAGCCCATGACTGAGGCAGCTTATGCCATCCTTAGTTGTACCAACATTTTCTTCCTTAGGTCAATAGCACCCAAGAGCAGTTGCAAGATGTGTACAATCTGTTACACTTTGCTACTCCTTAGTCTTGGAGCAGATCACTGCTTCCTGGGCATTTTAGACTGATGTGCGCAGGCCCCCTTCCTCTGGGTTCTGGATTGTTTTGTGGACTACCATTCTGCTGTTGTCTCCCTAACATGCTAGATGCAGTAGTGCTGTGCTGGTGAGAGAAATCCAAAAGTACAGTGTGAGAGGTCAGAAGTCTGATCTTTTATCGGTTGCTTAGTTTTATTCAACACAGGTTTTGATGGGTTTTAGGAAAAGGAGTCTAGAAATTATATAGAGAGGCAAGGAGATCCATGGAATATGGCCATGATGGTGCAGTGGAAGCTCTACCTGAGTTTTTTGTGGCGGTCACGTGCCATAATTTCACACTATAATGGCCACAACTTGATTTTTTTTTACCATGTCCTTGGACACCCCAGTATGAGTATATGAAGTGCTGCAACGAGCCATGTTCTTTTCCAAGATGTTTTTCCCAGCCGTTGACATACAAAAGAGAGAGGAGAGCAGTTACGGCAGAATCCACCAATTGTTTCCCTTATCATGTCCCAAAAGTCAGCACCACCCAAGTGGTGAGTCAAAACTGAAGCAATGTTGGCAAGAAAGAAGTCAGACAGGATCAGATTTAATGCTGGTAGAGCTTTACATCACCTTAAGATGAACAGAGAAGACCTCAGCAGTGGAGAAACATCTTAGATACAGATGGGGGGGTTAAAAGGTTTGGTTTATTCTACTGTTTCATTTAGTTTTAAGAGTACTGCCCATTTTTTAATATTCAGATAGAAAGATGAGTAAAAATTCTCAAGATTGATATACTGTATCAGGTGGAACAACTGTAATTTCCACCGTAAAAGCCATGCAACTATTCATCATTTTAGCCATTGTCTATCCACTGCAGGATGAAGGCCTCTTCCACATGTTTCCAACCAATACAGTCCTGAGTTTTGTTTTGCCAATTGCCAAGATGTTGTCGATCCATCTTGTTTTAGGTCTCTTTTGTGGATGCTTTTTATCAAGTGGGATCTATGACTGCCTTGGTCCACCTGCCATCAGCTCTTCTTCTTGCTGTGTGACCAGCCCATTTCCATTTCAATTCTTTTACTCTCTTGATGATATTGTATACTTTTGTTTGCTCTCTAATCCTTGTGTGGGTCTTTCTATCTTGCCTTGTAATGCCAAGCATATATCTTTCCATGGCTCTTTGCACCACTCTTAACTTTTGTATCCATTCCAAGTGTCCATGATTCACTGGCATATGTTAGAGCAGGTAGCACAAACCTTTCTCTTTAGGCACAGGGAGAGAGGTTGCTCTTGAAAATTATGCTCATCTTGCCGAATGCCTGCCAATCACATCTAACATGCCATTCAATTTCCTTTATTGTATCACCTTCCATTGAGATCTGTTGACCAAGGTATACGTAGTGGTCTACTACATCATTCAGTCTATGTATTTTAGGCAATCCTCCCTTTTCAATTTTCGGGTAAGAGCAAGACTTTAAATGGCTTCATACTCCTGAAGTGGAGCAAAAGTTAGAATTAACGCATTGGAGGTCAAAGAAATGTCTCTGGAAACCGATCCCAAGCATCTTTTGAATGGCGCCGCCTCTCCGACCTTTAGAGCCATCCTTTCGTTTTTCTCGATTTTTTCCCCCCTTAAGTTTCCCACTCCGAGCTATTCCCGAGTTGAGAGCGCGCTCGCGAAGATGCTGCTCGAAGGAACTGCTGCGAAGCACCGAGGGCTTCTCTTCCCCCCCCCACCACCCACACAGGGAGATCTGCCGATCGCAGGGAATCCGGAAAAGGACTAGTTAAAAACTTGCCTTCCTTCCATTGGCTCGAGGGCGCCCATCGAACCCTACGAACCCGAACGTTATCTGAGGCAGCGATTTTTGACTGGTCGGTCCTCTCGCCCGTCCCGCCCTTAAGCCCCCGCCTCACGAATATAGTTTTTTTTTTTTTTATCAAAACAATAACAAGAGACAATTGGCGCGAATGAAGCCAGGCTCTTTTCCAGAAGGAAGCTTTTTCTCGCCGAGCAAGCCAGGCCAGCCTCGGGAAGCCAAGAGCCGGCGGCGGACACTCTCCCTTGACCCTGACGAGAAGAACCTTCAGATCCGAGGTCGGGGCTTGCGCCAGCTGCCAGCTTCTAGCAGGGAGGTGAAGGGAGGGTCCACAACGCAGCCAGGGCGCCGTTTCGGCAACCTTTCCCAGTCCACCGGGAGCCTCCCGTTAGTACCGGAGTCCCTGGGCTGCAGTTTGGAAGCTTCCAGGTTGCCAAAGCGCCGGCGGTGCGTCTACGTGTGTGTGTGTTGGGGCTCGCTCCCTAGGACTGCTTGGCCAGCCTCCTCCTCTTCCTCCTCCTCCGTTGACAGGCTGTGGGTGGGTGTGAGCGTGAGCGTGCTAGGAGCTAGTGTGCAAGACCATCGCACTCCCAGGACGCGCGCACATGCGCGCGCAGCCTGCCTGCCCGTCTTTCCTGCTACCAGTCAACCAGCCTGGATTAACCTTTCCGGCTCCCACCGGGTCTTTGCTCTGGTGACCGCTCCGTACCACCGGAAGCCTGCTCAGCACTCTCCAGCCTATCCCCACCAGCAATCCCGCTAGAGCCCCGTCAGCCCTCTGGTCGCGCGGGACAGCTCTCGGCAGCCTCCGTTCCCACGCCCGCCGGAGAGAACTGGCAGCGGCTTCGGACTCCTTCGGAACAAGAGCTGCCCGCTCCGGCTTCCTCGGCAGCCCGGCCCCGTTTGCTCCTTTCTGTGACGGCAGGAGGCCGCATGAGAAGCCAGCGCTGCGGGAACCGACCCGCCGGGATGGGCTGAGCGGCGGAGGGAGAGGAGCTCGTTCGCCGGTGAGTGAATGAGCGGTTGGCGCTGCCGCTTGGGGGACTGTTGGTGCAATGCAACACCGCGTGGCCGGCTGCAGAGCTCGGCCGACAGGCTGAGGAGGGGAGGAGCGGACGTAAAAGCGCGAGCCGGGGTTGACTTGTCCATGAGAGGCATCTTTTCCCCAACGGGGCTGGAGGAAGCGGGCGACGAGGGCTTGGTCTTCGCCGTCCTCCGGATCGCGCTTGGCAGCAGGTGAATCCTGCCGGTCCTGCTCGGGGGATGAGCACAGCGGGTCCTCTGCTCCCTCGGCCTCGTTCCCGTCCTCTGCTTAGTGTTCTGGCAAACCCCGGATCTTGCCAGGGCCGGGTGGACCCCGTCCCAGTGCCCTCCCTCACTGCTACCTCCATGGTTCCTGCCCCTCCATATCTTCTCCAGAACCGGACCCTGACTCTTCCTCTCTGAGTCTTACAATGTGGTTTCAGGATGCTCCGGTGTCCCGCCAATGTCTCGCTCGGAACTTTAAAGCATCTTGGCTGCTGATGCTATTGAGTTTGGGCACTGGACGGCAAGGGGGGTTGGCACTGAATTGCCCCAAGAATTGTGTGTGTGCCAGCAACATCATCAGCTGCTCCAAAGCCGACCTGAAAGTCTTCCCTCACCACCTTCCTCATTACGCTACTGTCCTGGACTTTAGCCACAATCAGCTGACCCACCTTCGAGCAGAGTGGACCCCTATCCAGCTCTCTCATCTCCATTCGCTGTTCCTCAGCCACAATGGCCTTTTCTTCATCTCCACCGAGGCCTTCAGCAATGTCCCCCACCTGAAATACTTGGATCTCTCCTCCAACGCCATTGATATGCTGGGAGAGAACATCTTCAGTAAACTGACCGAGCTGGAGGTGCTCCTCCTATATAGCAACAAAATCTCCAAGATTGACCGCTCAGCTTTTGATGATATGGCCAACCTGCAGAAACTGTACCTTAGCCATAATGAGATCTCCCGCTTCCCCCTGGAGCTGGTAAAAAAAGGAGATGCCAAGCTTCCCGAATTGGCACTGCTGGACCTTTCTTTCAACAAGATCAAGAGCCTGCAGGTGAAGGAGGTTAGTAGGCTCCCGGCCTGGATGAAGAACGGCCTCTATGTTCACAGCAACCCTCTCAGCTGCCACTGTGAGCTTTACAACCTTTTCACCCACTGGCAGAAACAGCAGCTAAGCTCAGCTGTGGACTTTGAGGAAGAGCTCCAGTGCTTGGATCAGACCAAGAATAAAAACGTCACAATTTCCAACCTGTATGATCCAGAGGGCATGAACTGCAGTGCCTTCAAGGAGCAAACCCTAGAGTTCCACCGTGGGGACACGGTAACCATCAATTGTGATACCAGGCAACGAGAAGTGACAGTTAAGGAATGGGTGACACCCCGGTACGAGAACGTTCAACAAGAGGATGATAATAACTCCATTACTCTGCTGCCAAATGGAAGCCTTCTGATAAGTAATATCAGCATAGAGGATATGGGTCTGTATACCTGTCATGCAGTAAGCCAGGTGTTCAATGAGACCCTTTACGTACAAGTCACAGTCCATAACTTTACCCTTCATGGAGCCCCAGACATGTTCAACACAGCCTATACCACACTAGTGGGCTGTATCCTGAGCGTCATTCTTGTGCTCATCTATCTTTATCTGACTCCATGCCGTTGCTGTTGCCGCAGCAATGAGAAGCAGGCTAACCAACAAGAGGACAGTATCAACTCTTCAGCGCTCAGCACCACTCCGAATCACAATGCTGAAGTGACTGGGGACAAGGAAGGATTAAATCGGAACACAGTGCCAAGCAGAGCCCAAGGCCAGAATGGCAAATGCAAACCCACCAACTCCCCCAAACCTGCACCCAAAGGAGTCCAGAAGGTAGAGAGAAAATTGTCAGATCCAGATTCAGTCAGCTCAGTCTTCTCTGACACTCCCATTGTGGGGCCCTCACCAAATGAAGGTGGGAGAGGAAGCAGTAGGGACAAGGCAGGGACTGAATTAGTTGGACTGCTGTGATCATTCAGGCTATGAAAGGAAAGAATAGGAACAGATCCACATCTTTATCAAGTCAGGCACTATACTATAATCTGCCACAGTCTGTAATAGCATTCCTGTTTGGTTCCCTTCTTGTCGTGTCCAGTGTTGAAAACCTGATGTCTCAACTTACTCTCCAGCAGTTTCTGAGCCTTCTGTTTTTTGTTTTTTTCTTTGGAATGTGATCTTTTGGTTCCTTTGCATTGGAAGGTTGCAAACATCTCACTGACAAAACATGAATAATCGAGAGTATTAACTAGATTTTCTGCATCCTGCTACTGTATTTGTATTCCCCTTCTTGGGGGATTTTGCTCCCAAATATCCATACAAGTATGAAATTCAGATCAGGTCTGTTCACCTATTGCAGCCAGAATGTTGTGTGTCATTTTATAATACGGCCATAAGCCTTCAGAAGTATCTGCTCCTCAGAGGGATAAAATGAGCTTAGGAATCATATTTTAGCTATTTCTCATGCAAATTAAATTAAATCATATTATCCCCTATAGCTCCAGCTATAGTAGTAATCCTACGTAGCCAAGACATTGTGAAAAATAGTTTTTTTTCCTTAACTATTGCTCAAACATTTTTTTTTTAAGCAGCAAATGAACATTTACACTATACCAGATTTCTCAGGGCATAACTCAAAATATTTTCTAGCAAGCAAGCCTGTTTTGTGTGTTGTGCCAGTGAAAAAAGATGAAAAAAATGGATATATAGCAGTGAAAATTGATATGATGCTCTCTCTTCCTCTCTCCCATCAAGAGCTTAGTGAAAAGGGAATTAAATCCAAAGATTTTAGACTTCAGAGCACCAAACTGCAAGAAAGAACCAACAGCCTTGGGAACTGGTAAGCTGGAATTCAGAATCCCTATCTTGCTTTCTCTAAAATGCAGCAACAACAAGAACACAACATGGCTGGATGCAGATCTACTGCCTTCCCCTTTCAGCATTGGCAGCTTAATAGTTAGATTCCAGTTACAGATTATGGTCAAATTACATCAAATTTTAGCACATCTCCTCATCCTTTCAGAACTTCAGCAAGACTATGGCAGGCTATGTAGCTCCAGAACTATTTGATGCCTCATCATCTTCAGCCAAGTTTTTCTCATGTTCATTTAGGAGGCCAAACATGTTCCAGATGTTTGGGGGCAAGGGGGAATTTTATGAGCCATTCTATTTTAGCAGGAGCCATGCAACACAGCTTTGTAATATGTAGATAGGATCAATTCTAGCTGAAGAGCTTTTTCTGGAAGCTGCTTCTACAGACTTTGAACATCCTCCTAAAACAAACAACATTCAGCCTGACACTTATCTAACTGTTTGATTATTTTTTAAAAAATCCTTCCTCCCTATGTTTAGATTGGCTTTTCCTCCCAAGGGGTGGAATATAGAAATAACAAAGATATAAGAAGATTGTTTTCACAATATGGTGATGCTTCAGTCCACATTCTCTTTATGGGGTGAAATCATCCAAGCTAAGAATGTATCTTGTTCCTAATACCATTTCTCAGGTTCCCCCCCCCCAAAAAAAAACCCCTGAATGTTGCCTATCCTTACCAGTTCAGAGTGTTCCCTTTATTATAGATGGACTTGGGAAGGCTATGGAGTCATAAGAAGGAATTCATTAAAGGAACATTCCTTAACATACTGCAAAGAATTTCATTTGCTCTGGATTCAGAATCTATTGCTAGTTACAAATTATTGGTTGTTTCTGGATAGAGAAGGACAGAAGAATATAGTAGACATATATAACATAATAAGCCATAGAGTGTTTTGCACAAAGCTGTGAATGGATCCAATTACCGCCCTTAAAGACCAAACAGCCATAGCAAGTGTGATCATAGTACCAAGGCTCTGCCATCAGTTTATATGGGAATTAAACTAGGGCTGCTGGAGCTCAAAGTGATCCTTAAATCAGAAAAGCTAATCCCCTCACTTTATCTATTTAGAAATATGTCTTAAGTCACACTTAGCTTCTGGTGATTTCATGGATATGTCCATTCTTTTTGGCAACCATATGAAAGTGGTTTCCATTGCTTTTGCCACAATGTTTTTTTTTTTAACTTCTCATCTAACTTAAAGTTCTAGGAGTTCCTAGTAATCTCCCATCCAAGTACTAACCAGGTCCAGTTGTGTTTTCAAGATAAATCAAGATTCGCTAAGTGCTGACATCTACTATAAACTTTCACCTATTACTTCTGGGATTACCCAACATTTCTTTCTTAGTATATTAGGAGGAATGAAACCTCAAAAGAAATAGGCCAGCGTTTCTCAACGTTCGTGTGACGGCAACCCCCGCATGCGCAGTGGCGCCCCCATGCGCGGCGTGCATGTGTGGTGGCGCCCCCTGAGGGGAGAAAATGGCAGATCGCATTGTTTGGCGACCCCCGTAAAATGGTCGATCAACCCCAAATGGGGTCGTGACCCATAGGTTGAGAACCGCTGAAATAGGCCATCAAAAAAACATATCTGCAGACTCACAAAAAAATTGGGTTAGGAAAGGATGATTTTTATTTAAAAAAAAAATAAAAGAATGGCATGGGTGATGGTGAGCACAGAGAAAGTTTAGCAATAATGAACTAGAAATGACCAATTTTTATAAATCTGTTCATGTGGAATCTTGGCAATTTTCATGTTCAGGATTTCCTCTCTTCTGGACTTTGCAGTAGGCTAATTTCCTAAAATTCCCAGAAAATTAGACTTAAAAGCAAGATAAGAACAGATTAAAGACTAGTGCTATGGAAAGAAGGAAGAAGAAAGAAGAACCTTGCACTAGAATGTTATAGGTTACATTTTTTGTCATGTTATGACTTAATTTAATTTATTGGAATACATGCCATTCAGAAGGAATTTAGGAGTGGGAGAACTCCCTTGGTACCTAATTGTCATATGTATGGAGAAAGTTTTGTAGCCTGAATGCCATAGATCTAAGTTAAGAAATGATTAAAATGCAGAAATATATAATACAGGAGCACAGCTTAATCTCAGTGTAATAACCTTTGCACAAATATTTGCACTGGATACATCAGGACCAGCTCTATCACATTCAGAATATACGTTATCCCATTTGATGGAAGGGATGCTTTAAGTATTCTCTACTTTGCCTGGCCACTGGAATTTTTTAAAATCACAAGACAAAGATTTTCCTTGCCCTGGTGTCTCAGCTCCATTAACTAGAAATACCAGGGACCAAACGAGGGGCTTTATGTTCCTAACAGCTGCTCAGCCTCCAATTTTGATTGAATATTGCTGAATGAAGACAGAATGAAAGCCTGGACTAAAGTGAGAATGTAAAAACAACCGAAAGATGTTTCATGATGCATTTGTGTGTGCAAGTATGAATTTGCATGTGTGGGTGTCCACACTTTTAATCCCTGCTCTAGTTCTCAATATTTGCTAGAAAAAGTACTTAGGCAGGACTGTCATTTCTAACCATTTTTTAGGAAAATATACATCAACCGATAGGGTTTTCTTGCATGAAAACTTTGATTTAGCAAAATTAAAATAGCCATATACACCTTACTATTGTTGGAGTACGTCCTCTTCATGTCTTCCTGGTAAGCTTGATCCACCAAAGAGATCACAAAAACTACTTTAAGAAACCAAACATTCCTTTACTACATAAGATGAGCATGATCCTCCCAGTGGTGAATTTTATCCTGCACAGAGAAATTCATCAGGCTGTGAGGCAGAAAGTTTTAGACACCAACATATGTAATGTGGACAGTATTTAAGTAAAATAACCAGTAGAACAGCATGTGATCTTAAAAAATGGAGCTCATTACTGTTCTCTCCTAGAGCCTCTTGGTTCAAGCATCCCTTATCACTAGCAGTAAATAAGCAAAAGGAAGTAGGTCATTTTTCCACCTCATAACCTTGGTTATAATATCAGTATATAGAAAATAGTATTTCCTCCTATCTCCTCTGTGGTTAATCTTGTTTTGATGTTGATTCCTGTACCATTAACTCTAACCTGGAGGTAATACTTAGTAATCCCTACCTAGTATTTGTAATCTGAATGTATCAAGGATACTGACTTCAAATAAAATTAATTCTATATTATTTAAATTTTCTCACACTAACCAGAAAATGATTCGGAACCAAAGAGTAGAAACAGCTATCCTCTTATGTCCAGATCAACCCAGCTCCCATTTTCCCTGCTTGGTTAAGACAAGTGAACATAGCTGATTTAGAAGAGAAAGCTGACTCACTGATGGATAAAGCACCATACTGATAATTGCTAAGTGGCTTTTTACAGTACTCTGCCTGTATGGGTAGGAAAAGAAATCACCTACAAGATTTTCCTGTGTAAACTATTGGGCTAAAGGAAGGATCTATCCACATTTCAAGTAGTGTCAGAACTTTTTGTTTCATCAACTCTCCTGCTTGTACCTATTGTCTGTGTGCAGTCTAAATGCAATTTGTCTCTATATTACAGTGGCAGAAAAGGACACTCCCCTTCAGCACTTTGTTTCGTACCCAAAGGATCATATATATATATATATATATATATATTGGAAATACAGATCTATTATGGCTGAGGCATCTGGAGTTACTTTTTAATAGCAGCAAATGTTTGGTGCTAACTGCAAAGAATCCATTTCTCTCTTGGCTGAACTTTCTGGCTTGCTGAACAAGAGAGAGTAGCTAGATTTGTACATCACACTAAGCCATAATTAAGTTGCTCTTGTTTTGGTTTAGCATATTGTATAAATCCAACCACTGCTTTGTAAACCATGGGTTTTGGCTCAGAAGGCCAACCACTATGGTTTATTTAGTAAGCGATGGTTAAACAAATCAAGATGTGTAGCATGATCTGTGAACTTATGTTAGCACATTATCTCCAAATCCATAATCTGTCATATGCTCCTAAAAGCAAGCAAAAAATAAAGTCTTTACCCACTTAGTTTCACCTTCTTGCTTGCTCAATAGTGGTTACTCTCTTTAAGAGTCTGCTAAATTGTAGCAATGTTAAGCCTTTTCAGATTTATTTATTTATACTTGTACTTCAAAAACCTTTGTTTTATTTGCTACTTCCTTTGTACCGTCAGAAAAAAATATTCCATAAAAATTGAAGAATGGACTTCAAAGATAAATGTCTTTTTCTGAGATCAGTTGTGCATACAACCTCTATGAAATGTTGATGAGGTCAAAGCAGGGGTATCAAGTCAATTGATCTAATAGGCTGCACAGAACTACTTAATTTTCATTTTAAAAGAGAGCCAGTGGATGAACTTTCCTTTTTGGACACTTAAGTCAAGACTTATGTATCACAAATGTTGAAGAAAGCTGCAAACATGACTTAGCAAAATAAAGGTATGCCTGGGGCTCAGAATTTGGAAGGAAACATTCCAAATACAAATCTTCTAAAAATTGCACATCTAAAACAAGTTTAAGGCAGGGGTTCCCAATCTTGGCAAGTTTAAGACATGTGGACTTCAACTTCCAGAATTTCCCAGCCAACCATGCTGACTGGAGAATTCTGGGAATTGAAGTCTACACGTCTTAAAGTTGCTAAGTTTGGTAAATCCTGATTTAAGATTAAGTGCAGATTAAATTTATACCAGTGTCTGAGAAAGATTGGGGTATTGCCTCTACTGAACAATAGGATGAGATCACAGATACTGCAACCAAGCAAAATCCCATCTCCTATTTTGTGACTTGCAGGTCAAGCAAAAGTGTTCTAAGTTTGCTGGAATGCTTACCCATGTCAGGCAACAATAAAAATCCTGCAAAGGAGCTGAATTGGATTTCTTTGTTAGGTAGTTTGTACCTTCTAACATAGAAATATGTGAAAATAAAACATATTTTGCTAATAGGCACCCCAGGATCTTCTGCTTTTTCATGTTCAACATGGTAAATTACAAATTGAATATGTTCACAATTATATCAAAAGCCTAACTTAATAACGGTTGTAAGGCTTGGTCACATATTTTCAAAGAAATTTTACTAGACACCGGTTCATAATATAGCTTATAATTGCAACCTATAATGTTTTCTTTTTTTAAAAAAAAGCAGCCTATTAAAATGATTGCAGGTTTGGTTTGGCTAATTTCCATAGTTAATGGTATAATATAAAGCAGTCAAAATTCACCATCTATTAGGACTAAAATGAAGATTACTAGATATATATTTGGATGCAATGGAGTTACATCTCATGCAGCAATACCAGGTGGATTACAGTATTTAGTGTGGATTTAGAAAGCTGTATGAATCTGTTATGTTTCACATGCGGAGCAAACCTAACTCTGTGTGACAGAACACATATTCATTCAATGTGTATGCTAATGGTTCAGTTCACATCTTATCTAGATAGGAATTTCTGCACTTGGAATGACTTCGGCTTCAGGTCTGTGAGATCTATTACCAATGTTTGTAGACCAGAAACGTAACTGGTAAGGCAATTCTATTACACTACACTCCCCACATAAAGAAGCATATGTTCAATCAGTGCTGATTGCATGAGTGGTATTGTGTTCTGCCACCTCATTTTTCTGGTAAAGATTATCATATATAGCTGTGATATGAATATCTAGCAACCACTAGGTGTCAGGAGAGAGACATGGCAAAACTCTTTGCTGCCATCTATGGTCTTCTGGAATTGTCAGGCCCAGAGATGAAATAACCTATGCATCATTTATGGTTGTAAAAGCAAACAGACTTACTTACAATACTTCTCTCATCCCCTTTAGAGCATCCATTGAATTTTCTGCTTGTCTTAGGTAGCCATTCAGTATACCAAATTGTACACAAACATGGGAAGGTAATAGGCAAAATAGTACCACTACCGGTAGTAGAACACACGGTATTTTAAAAGAAACTAGGTTAGCAATTTCCTTGAGAGTTTCCTCTGAATCTTAGTGCTTATCAAACTGACACACTTGCTTCACTAAGTTGTTCCTGGTGAGCTGGATAATTGCTATATTCCTTGGGGTCATTTTTACTTTTGCACTATGGAACCATTACTCATTGATTGCTTGGTATATCATTGATGAAATCTGTATTTATGACTTTGCCTGCCAACCAGCCTTCTGATAGATCATTGGGTAATGCTGAAGTTTTCAGGATTTTAGAACTAGCATGCACTTTGACCCAAATTTACATCTAGGAACTCCCTGTTGTGTGAACACAGTCACAGTAAGTGTCTTCAATAAATTTATGTTCAATAGGAACAGTGCCAACAAATGTTCATGTGTTCATATATCATTGCATAAATTTGATGATGATAATGGTGATTTGGAACTTCTACAATTATTTTTTGCTAGCTTGTAACATTTTTTTATTCCAGCATTTGGTTTAGGAGTTGACTGAGGATTATATGCCACTTAGTCAGAGTCTACTCTTAGCAACCAAGTAGATAGATGTTTCTCCAGGATGGCCTGCCCCCAACCTGGTCCATACAGCACCAATTGCTGCTGTACTTGAGTGCATCCTTGCTGCTGGTAATCCTTTTCGTCTTTTCCACCTTTCTCAGCATTGCGGACTTTTCAAGAGAGCAAACTCTTTGCATAACATATCCATAGTATGAACTTTTGAGATTACTTATTTGTAATCCAGATGAGAACTCTGGGTTGATTGTTCTAGAATTTACTGTTTTTCTTTGCTATCTTGGGATTCTCAGGAGTCTTCTCCAATACCACAGTTCAAAAACATTACTACCCACTATATCCTGTTTCTTCAAAGTCCAACTTTGGCTTCTGTATAGCATCACAAGGAAAACTGTTGCCTCAGTGACTCTGGTCTTTGTAGGTCAAGACACATTGTGGCATCTGAATGTCTTTTCCAAAGCCTTCCGTCACTACTCTATGGTGTATTTTCTTGATTAAAAGCCTTGATTAAAGTATGTTTAAAAAGCATTGCAACCTGGCCAGTAATGTGATTCCATTAAATCAGGGGTCTTCAAATGTGGCCCTTTTATGACTTGTGGACTTCAACTCCCAGAATTCCTCAGACAGCCATGGCTGGCTGAGGAATTCTGGGAGTTGAAGTCCACAAGTCATAAAAGGGCCACATTTGAAGACCCCTGCATTAAATTCTCAACAATTGTGGATACTTGATTTGCATCATAGTTTGTACTTGCCTTATTCAGATTGATTCCACCTGGGAAAGGCAGAAGCCTTTCCTCCCCTCTTACTACTCAGAAGTTGACAATAGTAGCTTCCAGCCAGCAAAAGCATTCCAAAGGTCAGACCAGCTCTCTTACTGTGTCCATTATGGAAATCCTCGCAGCATAGATGCGAGGCATTAAAAGAGCTTTAGAGCCATCTCTAAATGAATGGAGTAACACATTTCAATTAATACATTAAAAACTCATTTATCCATTCTGCCTGAAGGCCGAATAGTAAGGCCTTGCAAAGATTAATACCCAAACCTCTTGCCTCAACAATAAAATAAGTGCTTGTCTTTGGAGAGTACACATCAGGATCATGTTGCATCTAAAAACCTGCTAGCTAACAGTAGGTTTATAATCTTGTAATTCAGAGAGATCCAGCTCAGTTGTCACAAAGCTATTTCATTAGCAATAATCCTTTCCATTAGTGATAATTTTTTAATCCCATCAGTGGCTTTTGAATACCATGGACAGTCTTAACACCTCCAAGATTAGACTAATCCCTGAAATACTAAAATGTGAAAAAAAATATTTGTGCAAAACAGGAGAGCTCTGTATCTGTATATCTTTTAGTTTTAACTTTGGTTGTCCAGAATACATGTATAAGTTGGGTTCACACTTGTGCTGGATTGACAAAACATAATGCTTTGTTCATATGGTTTATTATGCCCAAATTAACTGTATCATGACTGAACTACAATGGCTAGTTCCCACAACTAAGAACTCTAAGCTACCCACCACATTTTAGCCCATATTGTATGAACCCAGCCTATGTGCTACATACACCCTATTTCTCTGTACAGTTTCAGGGAGGCAACACAAATGCAGGATTAGATTTCTTTGATAGACCATTGGAGCATTATTGGCAGTGTATACTATTTGCCTTTATTTACAGGTATATAGGCAGAATGTAGAAGGAGAAACAACTTTAACCATTGGACAGATCATCCATGTCCAAAGCCCCTAGAGCAGTGGTTCTCAACCTTTTTAATGCTGCGACCCCCAACCGGTCGTAAGTCAAGGACTACTCAACTGGTCGTAAGTCGAGGACTACTCAACTGGTGTAGCACCAATTGCAGAATGAGACTTTTGGCGGGCTCAGCAGGGCAGAGACAGCCTGGACAATTCCTATTTGCTTTTGAAAGCCAATAGAATTAGACTCTATTCAAGAGAGTCTATTCTATTGGCTTTCAAAAGCCAATAGAATAAAAGGGAGTAGCACAGCTATGGAAAAGGGGGAAAAAGTGGCGGGCTGCATTGTTTGGCGACCCCCGTGAAATGGTCTTTCGACCCCAAATGGGGTCCCGACCCACAGGTTGAGAACCACTGCTCTAGAGCAGGGGTAGGCAACCTTGGCTCTTTTATGACTCGTGGACTTCAACTCCCAGAATTAATTCTGGGAGTTGAAGTCCACGAGTCATAAAAGAGCCAAGGTTGGCTACCCCTGCTCTAAAGGGACATTGTCCTTCCACACCCAAGGAATGTGTCAAACTGAGACGGTTATGGCCTATCTATGTTTCCATGGTACCATGACATTTTCCTCCATTCTAGAAAGCCAAACCAAGTATCTCTGCAAACTGAATGAAACAAAACCCACTGACGATGCTTTTGCAGTGATTCCTCTGGCAATCTGGGATGGGAAAGCATTCAGTTGGCAAGGACTCTTGTTTCACCCTAGGTTCTGTTTCTGGGATTTCCCCACATCCAGGAAATCAAAGTGTGACAGTTTAGCTTCCTCCCTCCGTCCTTTCTATCCATGATACCTTATGCAATAAAAAATAGTAATTTAGGTACCACAGATATCTGCTGTTTTTACTGCAAAAGATATAATATAGATAATCCATGAGAAATATATAATATAGATAATCCATGAGAAGTAAAATAATATGTTTTGTCATGATGTTGCCTGATAAGGAGTTCTGGAGAACTCAGAAGCTTACCTGTTCTTTTTGTGCATGTCTCTTGATCCTAGTAAAAGTA